TGATAACCCCTCAGTGTCTGTATTGCAAACCATATTGCCCAAAAGTAGAGAGAGAGTATGGGGAATATTGTCTGCCATGGAGGCAGGGGGAGTGTTGGAAAGGGGGGATATATGGGGGATATTGGTGGTGGGGAATGTGCACTGGTGGAGGGATGGGTGTTTGATCATTGTGTGATTGTAACCCAAACATGAAAGCTTGTAACTATCTCACAGTGATTCAGTAAAATTTTAAAAAAATTACCCATATTGGAAGCTGAGAGCAGATGTGAATGTTTTCAGTGGCTTGTCACAAATAAATTCAGTTGAACTACACCTTGGAATAGATATGAGTACCATACAGCTAAGGAAATTTCCAACTGTTCCATCAAAGCCAGCAATCCAGGCCCTCCCAGGATCTCTGCCCATAACCATCCAGTCTCTGTTTGAGCTCTGCTAATGACCAAAACTTTTCATTGCAGCAGATGGAATGCAATCTACCAGCATAACATAACATAATCTAATACTCAGGTTCTGGAGCAGAAATCTAATTTTTTTTCTCTTTTGAAAACTAAGAATGTCTTTCAAATACTTTTTCTCTGTGCAACACATTCTGGACATTTTGACCCAATTTTATTATCTAGACATGAGGACAGATATAGTTCAAAGATGAAATACATTTACAAATTAATTAGATCTATGACTCTTGGGGGATATGGCAAAAACAAGTGTTGAGGCTCTTACCTATGCCTGCAGAGTTGGTATTTTCCCATCAGCAGGAAATCTAACTGCAATGGTAATGGGAGTGCTGAGGGTGAAGTCACCTCTTTGTCTTGAGATAAAATAGCAGAAGTGCAGATTCAAAGTATTCCAATATTTCATGTCAGTTTTGTTTTATGCATGACTCTCTTAGATAATCAATTAGATCAGTTTTAGGCAAAACTGAAGAGCTGTCCATTGGAAGTTAACAGTTACAAATGATAATGGTCAGCATTCAAAAAAAATATTACTTTTACCTATAGGCAGGTTTCTGTTTGGTTTTGTTTGGGACATCTGGAGGTATTATATGTCACATTTTTAAGTTTTGGGGAAACAAATTTGTCCAACAGCTTGCAAGGACTGATTTGTCAAGACTCTCTGGAGCTGGAAACTTCTTAAATCAAATTACTGGCAGATGCATTTTATAAATACATTCTGTTGACATATATGAAGTATTTGCTCTTCAAGATTTGACTTTTTTTTCCTCATTTACTTCTAATGAATGTACTAATAAATACCACACATCTCCAAACACTCAGAAATATGACCTTTAAAGCTTTTACTTATAAGAGGCAATTTAGTCACTTTCATTGATTGGCATACTAGCATTTTTTTGTCCAGCTGGAGAGATACTACAGGGGAAGGCACCTGCCTTGCCTGCTTCTGAGCCTGGTTGATTTTTTGCCAACGACTCTAGTTTGCTGAACACCTCTAGAAGTGACCCCTGAGCACAGAGCCACGAAGTCCCAAGCAGTGTTTGGGTGGTGGCCCAACCACCCCAACCCGCAATAACAGAAAAGAATTTTATCATGGAGGTAGGCGAAACTGTGAATGGCCTTAGAGACTATGAACATCTATCCCAATCTAGCCTCTCTCCCTCGATAACAAGAAACGTGAAGTTAATCATTGAGAAGAAGAGTATTTCTCCAACTATGGTGCTTCCCAGGCTTTTCTGAGTACGTGTGATTTAATTACAATGTCTTCTGAACAACTTAATCTAAAGTAAATGTGAGGAGAAAGTCTATAGACAGGACTCCAGAAGTTTGATTGAGAATAAGTTGCATGAAATAGAACTTACATGAAATATAACTATTTCATGTAAGCAAACCTAATCCTCCCTTTTAAAATTTGCCAGTGAACTAGTGAATCTGGTCCTGTGCAATTAAGATGGCAAGAGAGCATAACTGTTCTGAATGATGCAGAGCATTTAACTAATGATCACGTCTGTCCCAGATCAGATTTTCAAAGTGCTTGGTGTGGGGAAAGAGAGGCATATGCTTGAGTCGACTGTGAATCTATTTCCAGTTTATTTTAATGTTAGATTTCCTTCTTGCTGACTGTCATTAGTCTGATTAGAAGACTAGGAGAAAAAGCACCATGGAATGCGAAGGAATAGGGAGGGAAAGGGTCACTCAAAAAATAGTCATTAGAGCCTGATCTGCCACAGTATTCTGTTGAGGAAGAGAGAATGCAAGACAAAACCAGTTTCTTCTTCAAGAATACCATGACTAAGGAAGGAAGGCAAACCTGGAAGCAAAGAAGTACACTGTGGTGTTTTGAACTATGAAGGGCTTCAGAAGCTTCAGATCAGCCTGGCCAGCGTGGTACTGGCGGAGGGCAGCAGGAGAAGGGACAGAGTGGTCTTGTTGGTCTTAAGTGATGGGTGCATATCTGCTACGTGGTCCAAAAAGATAGAGAAAGCAAGAGAAGAAAGGGGAGTAAACAGGGACTCAAAGGCACACAGCTAGAAAAAAAAATGGGGCTGGAGCGATAGCACAGCAGATAGGGTGCTTGCCTTTCACGTGGCCCACCCAGGTTTGATTCCCAGCATCCCATATGGTCCCCTGAGCACCACCAGGAGTAATTCCTGAGTACACGAGCTAGGAGTAACCCCTGTGCATCCCTGGGTGTGACCCAAAAAACAAAAAAACAAACAAAAAAATAAAAAACAAAGGCACAGCCCTAATAAGAATGTGTGGGGGTGGGTGGGAGGAGACAGATTAGCAGTCATATTTGACTAGACTCTGAGTACATGGAGAGAGTGACAGGCATCAGTTTCAGAATGTCTAATAAGGCATTATGAGGGGTTCATCTTAAGTAAATAGTATATAACTATAGTAACAATGATATAACTATAGTAACACTTAGCCCTTGTTCTGTGCCAGGTCTTGGTATGAATATTTCGTATGAGTTGAAAAAATTTACTTCTCCTAATAACTCTACAAAATAACTAGTATTAACATTATCATTACTGCTCTTGTTTTATAGGTGAAAAATACTTTGATGAGTGTTGGAGAGATAGTACATTTGCCTTGCACTTGGCCAAAACAGATTCAATCCCAGCATTTCATATGGTTCCCTGAGCACCAGAGGAAGTGATTCCTGAGCCAGGAGTCACCCCTGAGCATTGCCAGCTGTGGTCTACACTTCCACACATGTCTGCCAGAAAAAAAAATTCTCTGAGACACAGTGAAGAAAAGGAAAAATGAAACGAAACTAAAGTCCAAGCATTACAGTAATTGATCATCAAGGATTAAAATGGTGTGGGCAGAGTGAGATTCTAACACAGCATTTTGAAAACACCCTACATATGAACTCCTGGGGTCACAAGTCACAGGAAATAAGAAAAATAAATCCCAGTTTCCAGTTAGAAACTAGAAATTTCTCAAGTAGGATAATCAAGGACAGAGGACACCTGTTAAGAATTCTTGGAAACTTATTAAGTGAATGCTTGTAAGCTCAGGGACCCAGGAAATCCAGAAAGGAAGCCAGAAACTTTCCCAGGCCTTAGCTCAGGGGTTCTGTGTGTGGGCTCAGAAGACACTCCCCAGACCCCTGCTCACTCTCAGTAATATCCAGGAAACACTTCCAAGCAGAAAGTACTGAAATGGGACTGGAGCTACAGTACAACGGGTAGAGCGTTTGTCTTGCACACAGCCAACCCAGGTTCAATTTCCAGCATCCCATATGGTCCCTTGAGCACCGTTAGGAGTAATTCCTGAGCGCAAAACCAGGAGTAACCCCTGTGCATCTTTGGGTGTGACCCAAAAAGAAAAAAAATGTCCTGAAAAGAGCACAATAAACCATCATTTTCTTCCACTGAAATCTTAAACATTTTCATACCAATAAATTACAATAAAAAGAAAAGAGAGAGGCTTTCATACTCAAAAGGGAAAAGCACATTGGTTTAATATTTTTTCATGTTTGGGGCCATACTCAGAGGTGCTCAGGGCTTATTCCTGGTTCTGTGCTCAGGGATCACTTCTGACAGCTCAGGGAACCTGATGTGGTGTCGGGGATCAAACCCAGTGCAAGGTAAATGCCCTATTGGCTGTGCTATCGCTCTAGCCTGGGGTTGAATATTTTCAATCACCTTAGTTTATTTGGGTAAAAAGAGAAGGAAAACTATGTTTCAGGTCTACAGTTTCACCGTAGACTGGAGCATATACCCTAGTTTGATTTCTAGTATCACATGGTCCCCCAAACATCGCTGGGAGTGACCATGGGCACTAAGCTGGGGCTTCTCCCAGCTCGGCCATGTACGCACCTCCCCCACTTTCACCTTCTATAAGCAGATCCTGGTTTTGATGACACAGTGTATGGAGTCTAACTGTTGGGCAATCCAGCTTAAAGGGTCACTTGGAAGACTCGAGGTCAGCTTGTGGGATAGAGATACCGCCGTTTTCAGGTGGGAAAGATGGGAAGAAACCATAGACTGCAATTCCCCTGGCACCAACCCACCCTCCACAATTCACCGTGGAAGGAATTCCCCTTCATCACCCCAGAAGAAAGGAAAGGGGTGCAGGCAGGTTCTAGCCAGGGGAAGGCAAGGGGATGAGACCAGAGTGTCACAGCCCTGCCCTCCAACAAGCTGGGTCGCCCTGGGTAGATCACAGTCCTCGGTGGGCCTCAGGGTTCGGAGTGGGAAGCCCCAGGCAGAGTTTCCAAGGTCTGTGCAGGCTGTAAGTATCCCCCTTGGGGCCCACTTTCAGGAAACCCTTTAATACCCGGCAACTTCCAGGAACTCCCTCCTTCCCCCTGAGAATCACTCCCCAGACTGGGCCAAAGGCATCATTCGCCCCCTCCGTTCATCCGGATCCAGGCCAAGGCAGGGGACCCCCTCTAGAAAGGTGGCCCCGGCCAGGTCACTCTTAAATCCTGGCCGCCTCACCCTGCTCCGACCCCGCCCACTGCCAGTGGCCTTGGAGTCCCGGGCGTGGCAGGAGGAGGGAAGCTTTTCGGTCGGATGTGCAGATGTGTCGTACCTTGACTCCCTCTTCCCAGACCTTCTTGGGAGCGGGGATCCGTCTGCGATCTTCCGAGGGCTGGGAAGGGCCACAGCCCATGATGTGCGGCCCCTTTCTCCTCCGGACGCCGTCGTCGGCGTCCTGCACCCTCCGAGAGCGCTTCCCTGCACCGTCGCTAGCGCTCCCCTCGATTCTTGCACCCCTGCACCCCTGCGGTCCCACGCACGCTGCCCGCGCGCCCCCACGAGAGCTCCCCGCGTGGCCCCACGAGCGCTCCCCGCGCCCGGGCTTTCCCGCACTGGGAGGCGCGGCCGCCGGCCAGTTGCCGGGAACTGTTGCCACAATAAACCGCATCACACAGACCTGGGACCTGGGCGTCGGTGACACTGGGGCCAGCGGGAAATGGGAAGGGGAGGAGGCGCGTGAATGACAGACAAGGGGTGTGTGTGACAATTGCAGCCCCCTCTCCCGGGACAAGTGAGCGAAGACCCCGCGGGGCCGGGCCAAGCCAGTTTTAAAAGCGCATCCTTGTGGGCGGGAAGAGACCCCGGCAGGGGTGCCCTGGACTGTTACCTAGTTGCAGATTATGTGTGTGTGTGTGTGTGGGGGGGGGGTTGTCTGTGAAGGAATCCGGGTCCCTGGGAGGATAGCCCGGACAGCAACCCAAGCTCACCCCAACTCCGTAAAGGTCCCAGGACCATCACTGTCTCTCAAGCGGAAACCCTCACCACCAATCAAACCGTGTTCTCGGCTCAGCAACCGTGGAACAGGGCGTGCAAATCATTTTTGTGAACGACACATTTGAGGAGCGTCTTCGTTGTAAAGAACAAACCTAGATATGTTCGTTTCACTCAGAGAATTAAAGTAAAAATATCCGGAAGCGGCAGACCAGGCGGACTGCTCAAATGAGCAACAAACAAGTTGTTCTTTTGGGGATTAAAAAAAGAAAATCCTATTTTTAATGTTTACTTTCGAGACTGACACAAATGAGACTGAAAGGGAGATTCGAGCTATAACTACTGATTCTTATATTACAGTCTGCAAATTTAGGGCTAAACTTGAAGGCTGTGGGGAAGGAGGCAGGTGTTGGGATGGGGGTACCTGGGAAGAGGCACCCCAGGTGACCTGACTCAGGCCTTCCCCTAACCCAGCACACCAGGAAAATTCAACTAAGGATTCTTGGAAACTTTGAAATCCTGAATCCTTCTAAGGAAATGAATGGTCAGTTTGGATACAAGTAGCTGACTATTTTCTTTCTAGTCCCCAAACTTATTTCATGTGCTCCCTTTCCTGCTTGGTTGGCCTGGCCCCGCAATTTCCTTGTACCAAAAGCAAAGAAGAGGGGGAAAAAATGAGAAAAACTCAAGTCCAAGCATTACAATTGTTGAAGGACAAGCAGGCAAAACGTGTGATCAGGGAGTAAAAGGCCGCAGAACGTGCTTGGAAACATTCTGAACACCAACTCTTGGGGTTATAAGTACAGGAAATGTTCCAGCTGGAAACTGGAAAATTCTCCAGCAGGGTAATCCAACCCAGAGGACACCTCTAAACTATTCTTGGAAACCTTAAGGAAAGTTTGTAGGCTACACTGTAAGAGTGAAATACCCAGAAAACTTTTTTTTTTCCATTTTAGGACAATTTGCTGAATAGAGGTTTCCTGGGGCCCATATATACACATAAAAGAACAGAGGTGGTATTGTGTGGGTAACTTTAGACATCTTTGGTGACTAGATTCCAAGTCCTGAAAATGCCCTTGGGATATACTAAAGTTCTCATCCTGCATAACGTTTGCAAATTGTCAGGGATAAAAGGTAAAGGTCAAGGCCCTCCCTTTGTTCATCCATTTGCTCGAGCGGGCCCAGTAACGTCTCCATTGGAGCTTTTGTTGTTACTGTGTTTTTTATATATTTTAATATATAATATATATTTAGTATATTTAAGTACATTGTATGAACTTAAATATATTAATTTGGTTAAAAATTAAAAACAAAGACAATAAAATAACATCAGTTCCTAATGATTTGATGACACTTCCTTGTTATTATGATTTTGAGATTTTTTTAAAAATTCCTCTTATATCTCTAAGTGGGAACTGTCAAATAATGCCCATCATGTGTGTCTCTTGCCAAGTTCACATTCAGAAACATCACATTGGTATTTTGATATCAACCAAAGTGGGAATAGGATGAAGAGTAAATGCTCCACCCAGGGATTTCTCCCTCCCTGTCCCAATTCTTGGACATTAAACTGTCTAAAGGTTGATTGGCACCTAAAACCAACCTTTATCCAGCTGGGTCAGTCAAAAAGAATAAGATAAACTCATAAAGACAGTCCAAGCTTTAGGATCTCCTGTGCAGCCAGCAGTGAGCTCATTTGATTCAGTACAATATTGCTCCCTCACCCTGGAGTCCAGCATGTGGGTTATTGCTTAAGTTGACAAAGACATTAAGAACAATGAGTGAACAGTAGCACTGTCCTCCAGTTGTTCATCGATTACTGGGCCCAGTAATGTCTCCATTGTGAGACTTGTTACTGTGTTTGGCATATCAAATACATCACGGGTAGCTTGCCAGGCTTTGCCGCGCGGGCAAGATACTCTCAGTAACTTGCCAGGCTCTCCGAGAGGGGCGGAGGAATAGAACTCGGGTTGGCCACGTTGGCCAGGAATAGAACTCGGGGTTGGCATGCAAGGCAAACGCCCTACCTGCTGTGCTATCGCTCCAGCCCAGAACAATGAGTAAACACATCAAAATTCACTGAGTACATCAAGAGCAGGGATATTTCACCTAACCAACCATCAGGCTCACTTAAAGTCTCAATGGCTTCCTATTCTATTTTTCTCATGTTGCCCTAAACATCTAGAAGACCCTATTTTATTCTCTTCTTTTCCAGGTGCATTTTTGCTTTCCCTGTAAGCTATTCTGTTCTTTCTTAGGCACATTTTTGTTTGTCTTGTAATCTATTTTATTTTGCTGCCCATTTATATTCTAAGACTTAAGCTGTTTTGCCTAGGGGACTACCCCAACCTCGGAGTTAATACTTAGGGAGAGGATTTACCACACCCAGCCACTCTGCTATTTCTTTCCCCTCTATTCTAGAATGCTTAGAAATGTCTCTGCTTTTGCAGGTCTCCTGGGAGTGGCCAGTCACCTAGTCCTCATCAGTGGATGTATGTCCACTGGAGTGGGTGTGCTGAAGCTCTAGTTCCTTCAGTCCCAGGCTCTGGACCTCCATGGCCTGTTGCCACCTATGACATTGCTATATGGGACACTTTTCGACTCCTCACTGAGCAGGACTCCTGAGGCTGGAGGGACAGTATGGTGGGCAAGTTGCTTGCTTTGCATGCAGTTAACCAGGATTTGATTCCTGAAACCCTAGATGGTCTCCTGAGTTCTTCCAGGAGTGATTCCTGAGCACTGCTGGGCGTGGGCCCCAAATGAAAAACAATAGGACTTCTGTGCTTCGTTTTTCTCTTCCATCTGAATAATTTTGGGAAAACCAATTGCCCTCTTCCCTCCAGTGTTTTCTGAAGCTAAATTTGTCTAGTGCTGTGTTCTCTAAAGCAGCGAAGATGTTGGAAGGAAAGGCATCTCTCCAACTTGATGTACATGCCCTGAGGATTCTGCTAAGATACAGATTCTAAAGGCCAGGAGATAACATACCGGTTAGGGCACTTGGAAAGCAGGCATTGGACTTGGGTTCCATCCTTGCACTACCTGGTCCCTCAGGCACTGCTTAGTGTAGCCCTGGAGGTCCCCACCACCACGGGTAGTAACCCCTGGAGACCCCAAGAATGACTGGGTAGTTTCACTGTAATGGTCACTGAGCTGCATTGCATCCTTGAGTCCTTGCATTGAATCACTGACCTTGCTGGCCAAAGAATGCTGATAGGGCCCTTGTGACTCTGGAGTATCACTTGGGGCATCCTATTCCCCCAAATAAAAGGAAAATAAAATAAATCATAGATACAGAAAGTTAGAAAGTTAGAGGTAGCTCATACTTTTCTCAAACCACACTTCTAATGAGCTCCCAGGGATGCCGTGTCTTTGAGGAGCAAGAGGAGAGATCCCATCATAAAGAATGATTTCAGAAAGCAGAAAGGGAAAAGGAAACCTGGAAAGGAGGAGAAAAGAGAAAACCAAGAGGGGAGAATGGAAATGAAGTTGATGAGACCAGGGTGGAGGAAAAGGAGGTGGCCTCCTCTTGCGTATGGGACAACTGGGTACTCAAGGGCCATGTCTGCGTCTACCTTTCTCCCTGGGAAAGAAGGAGCATGGGACTAAGGAGGTACTGTAGCACTGTACCACTGTCCTCCCATTGTTCATCAGTTTGCTCGAGGACAGTGCTACACTGAAGAGAAAAACCAAGACCCTTACTTGCATTTCCCTAGCAGTGATCAGTCTCCCAGTTTGCTCTGTTCTGAGAAAACTGTCTCCAGGGATGGTAAACTCTGGCATCTTCTCTAACCCCAGCTCCTCACAGCTTCCTGCCCTGTAGAGGAAAAGATGAGTGTACCCCACCCTTCCCCTCCCCCCCCCAACCCCCTCAGCTCACTGCCCTGGCAACATCTGCAGATAAGGGCAGAGTGAGAGCCACAGAGTGATTGGGGGGTGGGGGGAGTTTGGTTTCATACCAGGGCACTGAGCTTCTCAGCTCACAGCCTGTGGTCTTCTAGAAAGTCACCAGCAAAATCAATTCTGATCCCAGAAGCAAACTCCACAAGTTTCCCAGCATCCTCTCCCTAAATTGAGGACTTGCATGCTCTCATCTTCACCCTTCAATGTGTCCTAGCCAGCTTCTCACTGCACGGACAGCTGCTGGCATATTGGACTGTTTGCTGAGGTTTAGGTGGAATAAGGGGTTCAGTGGCTACGTGGGTATTTCTACTATATCCATCATCAGCTTCAGCCTCAAATTGGGACACTCTTCAAAGCAGGACCCCTGCCCCCCTTTATACAGCAATGATCTAAGATTAGATCTTGCTTTAAATTGGTTGGGAGGAGCTGAGAGATGGTACAGTGGGTAGGATACCTGCCTTTCACCCTGCTGACCCAGGTTCGACCCCTGGCACCCCATAGTATCCCCTCAGGAGTAATTCTAAGTGCAGA